ATGTTGTTTATTTGAACATCTCAGAAGCTGTTTCCTTGATTCCTTTTGGTTTTCTGGATTGTCAGTGTTGCCTATGAACATGACTCCAGGCAGGGAGCTTTGGAACTGGGTCTGTGCAGCCAGTGGGCAGCAAGGTGGGCAGACAGGGAAAGTCGCTAGGTCCAGCTTGCCATCTGCTTGGGCCAGATGATTTTCGTGGTCCCTTCATGTTCTCAGGTGTGCGGATGGTAGTGCAGCTGAGGAAGCGTCTGATGGATGAAGGGTCGCTTGTCACTGAGAACATTGTGCAAACCTTCCCAGAGAGGCAGGACCAGACTTTGAAGGGCCAGAAGTAGAAATTAGACTAGTATGTGCCTGTGAGAGTGGAAGGCCCCGCTAAAGGAAAGCAGTGATTGTGGGAAAATGTATGTGACGCAAGTTGACCATGAATCATTTAAGTGTTCATTCAGTAGTGCTAATTATTTACAGATTGTCCAGCCAGCACACTGTCCATTCTGGAATATTTTCATCTTTCCAAATGAAAACTCTAGGCCCATCCAACACTAACTCCACGCTCCCTGCTTTCCTTTTCTCCAGCCCCTGGTAATATCTATTCTCTTTTTTTGCCTATGTGATTACATCTAATTTACTGCCTCAAATAAAAGCAGAACCCCGTGATATTTGCCTTCTCGTAAACAGCTTATTTCACTCAGCACAATGTCCTTGAGATTGTACTTGTTGTAGCATATGTCCGAATTTTCTTTTTAAGTTTGAATAATATTCCCCTGTGCATATTTGTCCATTCATCTGTTAGTAGAGATGTGTGCTGTTTGTCTTTTAGCCATGCTGAATAATATAGCTATGAATACATATTTTACTCTTTGAGGAACTTCCATAATGCTTTCTCCAGGCTCTGGGCTGTTTTGCATTCCCACCTGTGGCTTCTCTAGGCAAGAGCACACTTACCAGGTTCAGTAGACACCAGCCTGACTGTAGCCTGGATCTCATAAGCGGCAGTAGAAAGAGGTGCAATTAGGACAGGTTGTGTCCACAGCCCGGAGTCTGGAAGGCTAGGGCATGGGGCTAGTACTTACTCCGCAGGCCACTGGAAACTCTAAGGGCTTTTGAGCCAGGGAAGAGTAGGATCAGAGTGGCTGTGTGGGCAAGTTAAGGGTGAAAAAACTATTTGTGGAGTAGATTGAGCCAGGGCACAGGGATGAGAATCTGTGAGCTGGCAGCTGATTGCAGCGATCTCCCTGAGAGATCTGAGCTCCATAGAGAAAAGTCAGAGAGTCAGAGATGAACGTGGAGACTCAAGAATAAATATGGATGAATGACAGATGATTTGCAAGCAGATGTTTGCATGGGCTCAGCCCTGCATGGGCTCAGCAGTGGAAAACTGGTGACCAACTGAGTCTGTGAATGTTGAGTGAAGGTAAGGAGTGTGGCAGTGAGAAGCAGCGCCCCCCTTCTCCTAGCATGTCATGATGTCCAAGGTGAAGACAGGACACATGAGAGCACCTGCTCCTGGCCAGCGCCTGGCCTACTGGAGGGGCAGACTTTGCAGTGGCTGCTGACCTGGTTCTTGGATGCCTCACCTAATTTTTTGCATGCCCTCACCTAGTCGGGGCTCCCAGAGCCCAGCCCCTTGAACAAGGAAAAACAGAGGTTGGGTTATTTGCAGAAGAAGCCAGAACACCACAGTCAAAGTAAGCTGAGCACCTGTGGTGGGAAGGAAGGACAGAGAGGTGCCAGTCATGGTGTTTAAAGAAGATCTAAGGTAGCTGCTCAATTCTTATTTTGATTTTTAATTTACATAGTATGTACATACTATGCACTTGTGATAACCTATTATAAAATATTATAGGGAATCTATCCCTGATCTGAAATGCTTTGGACTAGAAATGTTTCCAAATGTGGAGTTTTTCAGATTTTGGAATATTTGTATAGACTTTACCAATATGAATAAAAAATCAACACATGCAGGGAGTGGTGGCACCACTTGGAATCCCACTACTCTGGTAGGCTGAGCAAAAATATTTCAAGTTCAAGCCTAGCCCATGCACAAATCTGAAATCCAAAATCTTATGAAGGTCTTATGTGTGTCTTAGAAAGTTTATGACTTCAAATTTTCTGATGAGGGACATTTGATCTGTGTCTGTGGGACTGATTTGTTTTGTATTTACCATGTGTAACTGCCAACTCACAGGTTAAAAGTATATTCCTTCCTCAGGATACTCTGTCCCCTTTTTTCGCTGTTCCTTTGCTTTCTACCACTGAAGATTCCAAGAACCAAATGGATTCTTTTCAGTATCGTTTCTCTTGCCAGATGACAAACTGTGAGTGCTCTCAGTGTGCAGTGTGTCAAGTTGTGTGTATGGGTGTGGTGACTGTGGGTTTTGGTGGACCTAAGTTGTGAAGGTGTTTTAGATTACTTCTATTTAAATAGAGTAAAGAATCTAAAATCAGACTGAGAAGACATAATTAAAATAATTAGGCAGTGTATGAGGAAACACACCAATAAGTGGATGTAACAACTATCTCAAGGCATTGTATGTGCAATACAATAAGAAAGCAACTTAAATCATGGTGAGACCCTCCTGGTGAGATCTGTGAGACACCCTGGATCCCTGCACACCAGGGCCTCATGGGGGGAGGTTGGTGGAGACCACAAAGATGTATAGTGCTATGTAGTTACGGGGTCATTAGTAACACGAGTCATTGCATTCTCTGTGTTCTTTATGAACAGAGATCCATTTCTTGCGATAGATCTGAATATATTGCTTTCTCTCTTTGCAACTGTGGAGTTAGAATTTTAAAAAGTTAATGATTCTTATCCTGGTGCTGAGAAAGAAAATGACTCAGTTGGAAAAACAATCTCCCAGCCCACGCACATTTTTTATCTGCACGTTGAACTGTCAGCAGCCTTTTCCAGGTTCAGTGCTGTGAGAGGAAGCCGTGCTGCTAACAAAAGTGTGACAGGTCGCTGCCACCGACCTGCTCCATTATACAAATGCGCCCTCTGTGACCAATTGTGACTCCTTTCAGACTCAGCCCCACCTCATTTGGACCCTGGGAATTGGTGGTTAACCAGCTGCTCTAGATATTAGAGGTGGGAAATGGACCTGTTTCCTCAAGGGGCCTAATTGCTTGAAAGAATTAACTTGACTTTGAAGGCAACCACGTAAGGTTTTCAAGGAAGTCCCTTGAGCTTCCAAAGAAATAAACTGCAGTCTTCCGTGACTATCCAAGCCCAGCCCCAGGACTCTGAATTCTCTTCCAGTGTGAGCACAGTGGAGCTTTACCAGATTCCCTGATGCAGAGAGCAGTTGCTCGCTGTGTCCTGGTAGTCAGAGAACCAGCACAGGCTTCAGAAGACAACCTGGTCCTCGTCCTTCTGTGCCTGCGGCCTTACATCACCTATGCTCTCCTGGGCATCGCGCCTTTTGAATGGTTGAGGTGGGCATGTAGAACACCTGAGAAACATGGGGCTTGAAAATTCAGAGCACCACACTCTTCCCTGTGCGCCTCAAGAAGACCCAGACTTTGAACAGGATCAAAAAGAGGCTGTGAGTCCAGGTATGGAGGCTGAAAAGCTCCTGTGAGAGAAAGAACAGAGAAGAAAACCTAGTGATGTTTGTGAGGAAGACATGTAGAAAAGGGCAGGGAGAGTGAGTAAGAAAAAAGAAGTGGTTGGTGAAGGGCCTTGGAAGCCTACGTAACTCACCAGAGGCGGACATATTTTCCTCTGGAGATTTATTTTTGTGGCTACTCAAAGCCTGGTGGGTGGTTTCTTCAACTAACCTGAAGATTAAGAGGAAGGAGGAGATGTGGAGTAGAAAACATGGCATAAATCAAAACTAAAAGCTTCTCTGGTGATGTTGACTTTTATTCATTTTTACTTTTTTTCTGACTTTCTAGAAAGCACCTACCATGGCAACGGTATTAGGCTGGAAAGGGATCCTAGTCATCAGGGGCATTGTTTGCTCTTTAGACAGGGAAATTCTGACCCTGATGACCCTGGGGGAGGGGCTCATCTAGATAGCTGAGCTGTGGCAATGCCACCTTCAGCCTGACAAGTGACACCTGGTGGGGTTTCTGAAAGGAGTATAAGCAGACTTCTCTCCTGCTGCCGGATCTTTGCACCATGTCCAGTCACAAGGTTGACAGAGCAAGCCAGGGCAAAGATGTCATGAACATTTTTAAGTGTTTCTTTCATGCCTTGCTGTTGTAATGCTTTGACATGTATTGAAGAATTTACTTCACGTGGGAACCTGTGGGGAAAATGAGGCACAGAAAGGGCGATTTTCACAGTAAATCTGTGGGGCCAGGGGATTTGAAGCCAAGCAGTCCGGCCTTAACATATATACTCTAAAGTACTAAGCCACACTACTTAGAGGTAAAAAGGAAGATACGAAACTGAGGATGGTGAATGGCCACCACGCTGGGTGCTGAGTGTTACATGCCTTATGCTTCCAGAAGCTTCTGGAGGGACACATAACTCAAGCGTCTGGCTTGAGCTCCTCTAAGGTGCCCTGAAGGGATCACCATGGTTGGTTCATCTGAATAACTATAACTTCTAATCCATCATTTTAACACACACATTTAAAATAAAATCAATGTAATGGGGGTCTGTATCCTCTTAATCATGTTGCATAAAATGTGAATAATAGAAGAAAGGATACATCCTACTCTGCATCATAATCAGTCTTATTTTGGCATATTTCCTAACAGCTCTTTTATGAATAACCCTGAATAATATAAATACAATTTTACATCTAATACTGAAAGCATTTTCCTGTATTGTTGTGAAGTCTTCATAACTGTGATTCTTAGGCTGATAATATTTTTTATTTCTTATGGCATTTTCACAGGGAGCATTTTGAGTTTTCTAATAATCACTGGAGGTAGAGATTTAATATTAGTGTTTAAAAGCATTTTGTGCCAGATGTTGGTTATAAAGTCACTCCGTAGACACGGTTACTTTTTTAAACCAGCTTTCCTTGTTTTTCTGTTAACAGGGATCTATCGAACAGAAAAGGATAAAGGCACTTTGTATGAGCTCACCTTCAAAGGGGACCACAAACACGAATTCAAAAGACTGATCTTATTTCGACCTTTTGGCCCAATCATGAAAGTGAAAAAGGAGAAACTCAACATGGCCAACACGCTTATCAATGTTATCGTGCCTCTAGCCAAAAGGGCGGACAAGTTCCGGCAGTTCATGCAGAATTTCAGGTTTGTTTGTTTGCACATAGCATTTATCTTCCTCAACGTGGTGCGTGTCAGAACGCTGATACCATTTCCCGTCATCGCCTTCGTTTCCCCTGCCAGCTACAAAGGCCCCTTTCTCCTGCCTGCTCAAAGCATGTTTTCTTCAAATGAAATTTATCATTTGTATTTACCTTTCCCTAGAGCAATTACAAAATTCCCCAGTATACATATTTACATTTGAGAATGAACACGAGAAGGCCTGGGTTTTCATCAGGAGTACAGAGGTAACCCAGTGCCTTGAGTTTCTGTTCTGACTTGAGATTGAGCTTATATTTGGGAACAGAGGGAACCGAGGCTCTTAAAGACAAGTGGGTAAGGGGCCTGGGAGATGGCTCAGTGGAATAAGTGCTTCCTTGGCAAATGCAAGGGCCTGAGTTCAATTTCTGGTTCTAAAAAAAAAGGACAAGTGGGTAACGTTCTTGGTCCCAAGGGGCAGGGAGAAGTTGGCTCACTTGTCCAGAGTGGTGCCTTGCTAGTGGAGGCCCCTGGTCAGTAGAGGGGCTTCTGCGTTAGCAGTGACTGCAAAGAACTGGATCAGGCTGTTCATTCCAAGCTACATCTCCTGCGAGACTGAATTGAGAACTGTACTGGGAAAGTTTCAAGTACTCATTTTTATACTCAGCAAGACTATGTGGAGTTCCTTTCTCGGCTGCACTGATGTAGCTTTTACTCCTGTGTCTGGAAGCTTCTTATTAAACATCATTGGATATTTTAATGCTTTATGTCTGAAGTGCACATTTCACTGACTTTCACCAACTTGTTTCAAAGAGACAAAGTCATTATCTGATTATAAATCTTGGAAGATGAAGCTTACTTTTAATCTTTAATCATGAAGTTCACATTATTGAAAAGTGTGGATATGGTTGGTACTTCACAAACTTCTGACTAATGAACACATTTTTTTTTAAGTTAAAGAGTAACCCATTTATAATCAAGTTATTTAATAGTAGAATCAAAGTCTGTCCAGACGAGGTTTGTGCCCTCATTTGCTCTAGTCTCTTATTTTAGAATCCCTGACCTGTGGTTCCCCAAGCAAGATGTGCAGACCAAGTACACTCTGCTGCCCCAGGGCGGCTGCCCCCTTGCCTAGGCCAGTGCTAGATGGAAAACACTTCACTATTCAGACCAGGAGTTGGCCTCCGGTGAGTGCAGTTCTAGCACCTGGAGAAATGACTGAAGAAATCTACTTCCTCGTAACCATCATAGCCTTCCAAGAATCCAAAGAAGGGAACGGCAGCTTTCCTGCCTCTCCTCCAGGAACACCAGCTCTCATGTTCCCACTTTCTTCTAGTCTTGGGCTCTGGGCTAGAGGTGTCATAGCTGGAGTTCTGCCTTTGACCTTATATAATCCAGTGGGCGTGGGCTCACCTGTCTGTCTGCCCCAGCCTGCAGCACTCACCTCTTCCCCAGTCACGTCACTGCCCAGTGTCCATGGAGCTCCAATAATGAAGTGATGTTTGCAGCCTGCAGCTCCTGTGGTGCTTCTGCATATTCTTTTGTGTCTCCTCTTTGGCATGGCAGAGTGCCATTGGTTGATTGAACATTCCACCCTGAGAACAACTGGACCCATCGTACTTTCCACTACGAGGACTAGGCATGTTGCTTTGGCAGATTCAGGGTTTCTGTTCTTTGATTCAGCACATGGCCTGGTCCTGGAGCATGTTGGGCTGGGTGCGGTAGTGGGTACTCTAAAGGGACACCTGCTCAGCACAAGGCCAGGTCCTCAGTGTGGTCCTCAGGGTTCCTGGAAAAGAATTCTCTTTGGTATGTGTGGTCAGCTTTTTATTCAGTGCCACAGGTATTGTAACTAATTAATAATAGGAGGACAAGTAGAAGGGAAGAATTGTTGAAAAATGTAAGAGTAGTGTCTTACAAGTCTTCAGAAAGAGGGTGGTGGAATGGAATGGAAGTGTAATTAATGCTTCATGTACACAAAACATCCTAGGCATTTTTTTTCTCTTGCTAATGATATGTCCCCTGCAGCATGCAGAGAGGAAGGGGTGAGGGACAGAGACATCCTTGGACAGGATGTTTGGAGAGGCTGTTGAGTGTGCCAGGCACTCCCCCCAGTGTGTGAGAGAGGAGGAATTCCGGATGTGCTCCTTCCCTTCCTGATGCTCCCTGCCTCCCTGGAAAGTAGACTCTGCTGTCACAGAACCAGGTGCTGCAGGAGATACAAGCAAGGGACGGGCATGGGGCCACAAAGAGAAGCCCCTGAGCAGATGGCAAGAGAGCAGAAGCCTGCATTTGCCCTGCGGACCAGGAGTCCCCAGGGCCCTGAGAAGGTGGCCTGGACAGAGTGACTACATGAGGGCTTTGTGAGCTTGCAGACAGCCTAATAAAGATCAGCAAAGAAAGCATTATTCAAACCGTGGTGTTTGGGTAACTAAACAACCATAGCCGGAAAAAACTATTTCACAACCAAAGTAAAGTAAACATAATCAATGAAATATTTAAAAGCAAATAATCCAACTATAAAATTACTGAAAGAATACAAAGTACAAGAAATTATTTATTAAATATTTGATTTTTTTTGCAGTTCTTTCCAACCCAAGATTGGAAACTCTTAACTGTGATTGACATCAAAGGTGCTACCGTGCGCGGTTTTTCTTTCTTTCTTTTTATTTGCTTTTTAAACCTTTATATATTACCCTGTGCTGTGTATTTTATTTAAGAATCCAGTGAATGGATTTTTATTTTTGCTTTTATAATTTAAGCACAGCCTTCTAGTTTGTAGAAGCAGCATTGGCCCTTATAAGATATGTAAGCAATGTGGAACACTACATGGAATGAGTTATTTAAGCAGCGACTTTAACCCCAGTGTGCTGGGGCATAGGCACGCACCACCATGTCCAGCTGATTTTCCCTTTCTTAAGCTCACAGAAGAGAGTCTGGAGGATAACTGGAAAAAATGCTGAACTTGTAGGAAATATTTTCACTATAAGAAGTAACCAGTTCCTCAGAGATACTTCTAAAATTTGAAAACTGATTTGGCAATAACGTTGGAACTATTACCTATTTTTATAACGTATTTTAATTTTACACTGGACTGAGTTGAAAAATTGCAATAAGAAAATGCAATCAGCACAGCTAACACTCTCCCCTCCCTCCACGTTCCACCTTGTGGTTGCTGGCCGTCTCTGACTACAACCTCGTGGGGTTTGCAGCCCTTGTGTGCTGTCCTGCACAGGGCTGGGTGTGCAACACCAAGTGAGTTCAGGCCATCTGCCAGCCGTCCTCATACAGGAGCACCTTGCTTCCCAGGTCCTCTGTGGGCTGTGTGTCCTGGGCCGTATTAACAGGGGCAGGGAGTGTTTGAGCATTGGTATCTACCTGCTGTCTTTGCCATTTGAGAACAGCAACAGTGGGGCTGGGTTTAAAGTTTGGGGATGGGGTCTATTTCCTCTCCTGGGACTTGGTAGGCCCTTCTTCTGGCGTTGGCATTGCTTGGCAGCATGAAGAACTGTTAAGACCACTATTGGTTTTATCTCTTCTGAAAGTGACTTAATTTTTTTAAGATTGTAACACGCTAATGTCTGGTCTTGGCGTCCTAGGTCCTGTAGCCATTTGTCTGGGGTACAGCTGCCTTGCTTGTTTGGGGTTGTGGCTACTGGGGAGACTGATGCTCTGCCTGGGGTGCTCTGGCTCCTCTGGTTGGGTCTGTACTGCACGTACACACTTGTGTATCTTATGCATTTCTATGCGTTAGCTTCTCTGTGGTTTTCAGTGCCTCAGTCTTTCATCGGCATTCACTTAAACCCTCCCCTTTAAATCAGTAATTTGATTTCCTGGTGTATCTACTCTGTACCTTGCTACTTTCTATTTAAAGCCTCTATTTTTTTTTTTTTTTGGCTATTGATGTATTTCCTGAGCACACAATATGCCTGTTAGTCTTATTTTATTTTCCTCATTTCTTCTTTGAACTCTTATTAAAAAATTGAATTCATAATTTTGTTAAAATGTGAAACATTTGTAGAAAAAAATCTTCTGCCTGAATTATACTTTCTTTTAGACTAGGTTTTCATTTGCTTTAAATATTATTTCTTAAATCAGTATCTTTCTCAATAACTCTTGCTGTCTCTTTGCCCCCTCCCCCATCTCTTTCCTCTTCTCTCTCTCTGTAGTCTCTCTCCTGGGATGCAGTGGCTGTGATGTTGCCTTTTGCCTTTCCTGTGTCAGGTGCAGAGGGTACCCAGGCCTCTTACTTGTGCTGCCATGACACAAGTGGATCTTGCTCAGCTCTCTTCTTATGCCTGGAACTGCATGCATCTACTCCTGGATGCATTTTGAGGATAGAATATTGTCCTGTTCACCTTATTTGTGGTATAGAGGGGTGGGTGGTGGAGAGAAAGCTCACCCAGACGTGACCAACCTTCTTTGGCTCTTCTGAGCTTTAGAGCAGACATGCGTCTAGTTGAGATGCCCTCTTCCTCAGGGTAGATGTATTTGGCTCACACAGTAGGTCTTCAAGTGAGACCTGGAATCCTAGAAATAATCAGCCCATGTTATTTCTCTTCTGTTGTCCTCTTCTTCACTAGCACTTTCTCTCTTTCAAAAGCGGGAAAAACAGTTTGGGCTGCTCCTTCAATGGTCTGTGGAGCATAGTAGAAATATATATCAGGTATGTCATCTGACTGTTAGTATTCCTTATTCTTGTTCTTCTTGCGCTGATGAAGGATCTTTTTTAATTTTTTAAAAAATCTGATTTTTTAAAAATTATTTGGTACAGGGTCTCACCACACAGCTCAGACTCATAGTGATTCTCCTGTTTTCAACCTCCCCAGCGCTGAGATTACAGGTGTGCACCACCACACCCAGACTTGGTGGCTGGCTGACCATGGCCAGGGGCAGCGCTGGCATGAAATGTGTTGCCGGGGATCGAACCCCAGTTCTTATGCTTGCCAAAGCAAGCACTTAGTCTGCTGAGCTATTATACCAGCTCTCGCTTAATTTTTTTTTATTAG